CCTGGTGAGGCCCAGCTTCATCACAGAGTTCTTTCGAGATTTAAGTCACGGTTGAAGTGGTGAGCAAAATACATGAAGGCAGGGATAGCCAAGTGTTAGTAGCATACACTATATACACACCACATGCACTGATCGCATTATAAACTCGACGTGCTTCAGCAAATGATATGATTGTTACTGCAAGTCCGAAAAGCTTGTCAACTGGATCATAAAAACTCAGCTATCGCTCTCGCATTACTAAAGGCTTACAATTGTTTTGATCCAATTTCCTACTGTATACATACAACCTACTCAGTAAGCATGTTCCCAGTGAGTAACAAATGTATGAAAGGATAAACACTGGCTATGACCGCTGGAAGAGCGGATCAGGCTGATGTGGATCATGGGCAAATGAAAACGGGAAAAGGTGACAAGTGTGTAAACTCGTGATGAGCGAGTAAGCTGAGTGTCATTAATTTTTCGTGCTACCTGTGCCACGGGGTCGCTCACCACTGTTCCTGAATAATTACAAGCTGCCGTTATGAAGTCAATAAGAGTGTGATGGTATCATCGTTTGGTATGAACTGATAAAAGTTGATATTGAGTGTGCGTGATAATGCTACCTCTACTGATCCACAAATGCACATCAGTAGTCTAGTGAGAAGACTTAACGGTGGAGAACTTTTTCAGGAAGGGTCTCAAATTCTGTACAACACCGAATGGAGACCTGGATAGAATGATAGGGCCGGGGATGCTATCTACGGGAAAATGCTTAGAATTGCAGAATAAATTTCTCGAGCAGTTTATGTGCCTCGCTCGAAGATACTTTCAGTTGGAGTGCGTATTTGTAAGCATGAGAGCAAGCGCCTCCCAAGCGCACGAGCCCTTGTAACAATTTTCTTTGTCAGGCGGGAAGCGGACTCGCAGTTTTGCTCTTCCCAGTGGAAGCACACTGCTTTTCCCGGTAGCAGCTTTTATAACCTTTCCTAATATTTGTCCTTGTAGGCGCCCAACACAGGCTATCGTTCACGCTCATTGCACTTACTTAAGAACTCACTATGTGATTTATCTATAATCTATCTTCGTGAACAGGCTTACAAATCCTATCGATATAACTAGATCTTCATTCAATGTCCTATGGTTAGCTGAAACCCCTTCCTGGACGAATCGATGGGCAATAGCGATAGATGCACAAAAAGAATAGTAGTGATAATGGCAAACACAACTGCAACACTGATGATTAGAGTATCAGTTCCATATATCAAATACTTGCACTCAGAAGTTACGCAGCTGTGAAACGCTTCCAGATATTTCCAGAAATAGTGTAAAAAGCAACAGAAAATCAAAAGAATCATGTTCGTTAGCAGTTTATGTGTGTGCGCACACCGGAATATGAGCACACCCCTCTAAAAAACGTTTTCCATTTTTTTACTTCTTGCTATTCAGGCGGCCAGCTAGACATCGATGAAGATCGCGGGAGAATTCAAAAGTATCAGGGCCGTAATACTGCTCAAAACTTCAAACAATACGAAATGTAATCTACAAACATCTACATCTTTTTTCATCAGGTTAATAAAAATTATTTAATCAAATCCATGTGACCTTGAAGCTATAACTTTGCACAGCTACTTTCGCATTGGCGCCTGGTGGAAATCGAATCTACCTTTTTTGAATTCACAATCATCAATGTTCTCGGATTAGATGGAGTGGAGCTGCAATATGTTACAGTTTTCGCACTACAAGAACTAATACATAGCTCTACACAAACACATGAAGGCTAAAAGGTTTGTCGGTGGCAAGTAACACCAACAGTAATAATATGTATCACCTGTTATGCCTCTGATTATCTGTTCCCAGAGAGGGCCGCTCCGTGTAAAGTAATCGCTGTGCCAATATAGCCGAAGAGTAGATTGAACCTTAACGGATGGTTGATGTTTATTAGGAAAAATAAAATTTGAGATTTGAAAAATTACAATAATAAACAAGGCGTCATCACGAACTGAATACCCATTGCATTGTTCTACTTATTATACACTCTGACAAAGCAGCTGCATCATCTCGAAGAGCGATAGAGAAGGTCATCTACGACGTCTATTTGATCTTTTCGACAACCACGTCTATCTGTCTTACTAACATCTTAAGTAAGCCGGATATGTCGTTTCTTCAGTTCTCTCTTCCAAAATTCGGCATGCCATTGCGTCGATGAAGAATTGTAAGGTGCCAGGTGAAGTAGACCGTGCGAGCAAGCAGAGCTTCTGAGAAGATTCAGTACAATCGATCACATGCACACTGTTACAACACTCAGGCAGGCAGAGTTCACGATAATTTCGCTAATCCGGAATATGACATAAAATTGAAGAAAAAAGGGAAGGCAATCAAATAAAGGATCGCAGCAGCAAAAAGAATAGCAGAGAATAAAAGAGTAGGAAAAAATCGCCTAATTACTCGGCGATCAGTTGATTGTGTGTGGGCCCAGGAGCGAGTATCGCAATCTCTATCGCCTCGACACTCATTTACCGTAACAGCGGTCGAGGGGTGAGACATCTGGGCGGTCGGGTGGAGGGCTCCTACCATGCTCTACCTGTTGAGTTTTTGGACCGATAGCGTCCTTTCTGTTACCCTTGGGATAACTGGTTAACTGGAGGGGGAACACAGAAATCACTTTTATCGTGAACTGCGCCTTTAAGTATCGCGAGAATACAAGATGCCGTTAACTGTGACCTTCATCGATTTGAAGAAAGCCCTCGGTACCGTCGAGACGGGTACCGTAACTGGAGTAGAACTGGGAGTGAAAGACGACGCCAGCTTCTTACACCGAGTCCGATTTCCAGGCTACGTGCTTATAACACAGAGCATTGAGCAGGCGGAACGAATGCCGCAATGAATGCTAGACAACGCATGTGAAAAGATCGGCTTACGATCTCAACGAAGACGGTGTTCATGAAAAACGGGTAGGTGCCTGATGCTCCCTTCACGCCTACGTGCATTTAGGTAGTGAAGTCAATATGATGAACGACCTACATTGCACAGGAGCTGAGCAGAAAGAAACGCGCGGCGTGGGTAGCACTCAAGAACATCAAGAGAGTAGTGATGATAACAAACAACATCTGACGCCGCGCTTTCCTTTTCGACACTGCGGTCCTTCCTGCCTTGAAATACGCCTCAGAAACTTGGACTCTACGCAAGCAGGAAGAGCATGCCTGTAGCGCCGTACAAGGCGTTCCATCACACGGAACTACGGAAGATAATCTGTTTTCCGAGCTCCGATGACGATCACATCAAGGTTGCCGTTGAATCGAAGATCAAGTGGGTCCGACACATTAAGTTATTTTGACTTGATGTTTTGTTAACTGCTGTTTTAACGCCGCAGTGCGCGAAGCGAAAGTCTCACAAGGTTGGCGATTTGTGGGCAAAACTCCAGTCTCGGACGGGACTCGAACCCGTACTTGTCCTTTCCGGGGACCGTGCTCTTATCCCTTACACTACCGAGACCCCGCTTGCCCTCGCCCTNGCAAGCGGGGTCTCGGTAGTGTAAGGGATAAGAGCACGGTCCCCGGAAAGGACAAGTACGGGTTCGAGTCCCGTCCGAGACTGGAGTTTTGCCCACAAATCGCCAACCTTGTGAGACATTAAGTTATATCGTGATGAGTGTTAGACCAGGGCGATTACTGACTGGATCACTCAAAACGTCGAACGAACACCAGGACGCCCGCATGATGGTCAGACCTCTTCACGAAATCTCTGAAAGGAGAAATGCTATGCTTCCCTTCCTTCTAGCGAGGACGATCCACTAGACCACTCAGGCTTGTGACAGCGACGAGTGGAGACATTACTGACGCGCGCTCGAGTAAGTCGACGATTCAAAGGCGATAGGTGATGAACGTGATTTAGGTGCCAATGCGCATCCCTGCTCAGGATATCACGTCGAAATTGTAGTGGCCAGCAACATCAGTATTCTCTTTTCGAAATTTTGTAATGAGGACTGTATCAACTTCGAGCATAGCGACTTTGTATCTAGGAGGGAGGCAGCACAGCGTAAGTCGACCCGATCTTCACATGAACTGCAGCGTAACACTAGTTTCTGCTTCCTTTTTCTCTATCTCGATGTACTCTTTATGGGACACAAGACGAATTTCAAGGTCCGGTGAATGTGTTATATAATAACACACTTCCAAGCGCTAAAACAGTGCCTTCGGCGAGGTCCACGGGCTGAGTGATGGGGATTGGAGACGGGGAGGGGAGAATAACTCTATCACATGTTCACGGGCGGACGTGTGACCGCTTGTTCTTTTCCAAGAATCCTTCACCGTCTATTCTTGACGTATGAGTTAGAATCACGCTTTTACCACACACACATGATCTATTCAGCTCTCACTTCTGCAGATCCGTGGATATCGTGCAATCACTCCTTCTATAACCTGGAATGATAGCTGAAGAGAACTCATAAACAAACTTTCCATGCTTGTTTGGGTACCACTCATTCGTCACTCGTTCCTCTCCTAACCGACCGTGGCCTGCTCGGTCTCGCACTCAGGTGATTAAAGTGAACTATGTTCTTTTTTCAGAGTCGCTGCACATTTTACGCTCAGTTCGTGCTTGTACTTGACTGAATTTTTCGAGGTTGGAGGCTGGTACAACAGGCCCTAACCACGTAAAACTGACCAATCCAATCTTAGCGTTAGTAGGGAACTTCGGATTTTAGCGGAACTGCGTTTCTTTATTGTGAAATATCACCACCACCGAGTCCCGGCATATCGCAATGCCCCAGCCCCGCGATTTTCTCAGTTGATGGCTATCCAGTGATGATGGAAGTTTTCGTAGTCCCGCGATTCCATGTTCGAACCAAATGTTAAGAGCGCCATCAACCAATTAATTAGATCTAGTGCCGCTTGCAGACACTGAGATTCATGAAGATCTAACAATGCCACTACTACATATAATTCCACAATTCAACTACAACTCTACCCCCATGGATACATAGTGGTTAGCGATTTTGCAGCTCCTTACCGAAGTGTGCCTGATTGGTTCCATTCAGGCTACCCAACAGGCAAACAATGGCGTTATGAACGGTTAATCCTTATCACAGCATTCGATAAGCTGTATCAGGCCCTATACCCTGCAGTGCTCCAACTAACCAATTCGACTTCGCTCTCTCATTTCTTACTATACGGCTCAGCGGGCGGTCTGGTGCGGTTTTGTTCTGCGCTATATGGCTCAAACAATAGGGAATCTCTGAAGTTTCCACAGTGAACAGTGCTTGAGCCTTCATTCTAGAGCACGCCAAATTGCATGCGATCACTCATTTAGCGGACAACGTAATAGCAACAGATATACAAAAAAGCGAAATCAAGTTGAAGATAAATTGGAGTGCCTCGAATCACGCTCAGGCCTGAAAATACTCATCGAATTCAGCGATCTGCTACTTTCGCTGAGTGAGCATGCCTTCTGGGTGCTCCTTTGGGTGTCGATTATTGGATAAACGCTGGGCTACAGAAAGGCTGAATGCAGCTTATAGATTGTGTAGTTTTTCCTCACTTTCACATTAGATCACATGAACGAACTCAAGAAAATGCGATTGGGACATTGAAGTATGGAATTGTTTTATGTCTTTGCTTCAGAGATCGAAACGGGACCCATACTCGCGAGGAGCTTAAGGCTTAACAATCTGATGAGCTACACCGAGCAGGAATCTGCAGAAGATATTGAAGGAACCGAAAGTGACCTGTCAGGGTCATCAATATGGGCGTCACATGCGGAACATTCCACTATATCAGAAGAGAAGGATAATTTCGATTCATGTACTAACGAGGGAACTGATTCAAATGCGAGTAGTGGATTCGAAATTGAATCGCCTGTTATCGTTGACCTGCCTTATTCATCGGATGATGAAGTGGAGGGGGGCAACCGTGAGAGTTCTCAGAGGAGTACTATGAAAAATCGTAAGTATGTCAAAAGGCAAGGCCAAAAACAATCCCAGGCGGGTGAAGGAATGAGCGATAGCTCCATCAACAGTGATGATATTCTGAAGACCACCTCTTCGGAGGTGGGTGGTTTCAATCATAATGCTCTTGATAGTGTTTATCACAGCTTTAAGCTCTGCTTTTGGAACAGAAATGTACAGTGCCTATCACAGTACGGAGAACCTAACCTGCTCTGATTTGAATTCCTCGGGCATCTGAACCTGAATGCGTTGGCGTGAAAATAAGCTTTCACTTAGGCTTGATCAAGTTGGTCGTAAAACAAGCTGAACGTTGAAAACGTAGCTATTATTGGTGGCTGTCCCTACTATCAATGTTCAAGAGGCCCTACATTCATTTAAAATTCGATTTCAGGAGAGAACTGAATGCAAGACATAGACCACCAAAGGAGAAAGAAAAATACTTTTCAGGATGAAAGAGTTATTGAGCCCTCCCACGTAGAGTCTCAGCAAGAAGTCAGATGTGAACCATTCGGAGTTTTCACTGAGATGCCGAGTCCCGAGCGACCATTTTTACGGCCCCCAAGTGCCACTGCAAGGGAACTGATGGAAATTCACAAAAACTATCGCCGAGGAGGCAATCAAGAGGTTTGTTTCCCAGTAAATTATGGCAGCGAGTTGTCAAACTGACGGTCACTTTTCCACCGTAGGACATTCGATTTTTAGTGGCCTGTCCTTCTTCCGCCAAATTTGGATGAAGATTTGCAGAACCTGGATCACAGCGACCCAAGCAAACGGCCTCGCTACCTACCCTTGGCTCCGCCGTATCATTTACTGCCGAACACATCCTTCTTCAGAAAAACGGCCATAAAACCTCCTCCCACGTACTGTTCTGATGGACTACCTCCTCTCAAAAGGATAATCAATCGGTATTTAGCCAGTATACTTGTGAGTGGACAAATCTGTACCTTCCGTACACTTCTTTCATTTCTTTGAGAGTCTTTGCAGATCGATCACATGAAAAATGAAGAGGAACTGCGCATTTTCATGCAAGAAAGGAGAAGACACATTCAAGGAAAGAATCAAGCATGTGAAGGACAATTGAAGGATGTCGATGAGTCAATAACCGAAGGAGAGAAGACATGTCGAGAAGAGCAGTCGCTGAATCTACATCATCGACAGAAGAGAAAACCCCGTGTTGTTATCCAACATCTCTTCTACGGTGGCCAACTCATTCATTACATCCAGGACGGGAACGAACCTCCTCCGATCCCCGGTTACTTTACCAGCGCCCCTTTGATACCGAGCAACGTAAGAATCACTCGCGAACTGAACGGCACTGCCCCATTGGAGTATCAGCAGCTGAGAACTAGCCATGGATTTCAGTTCGTTCCTTTCGGACAGTCACTCAACGATGTTGGGGAAGATCCGGTTATTGTTATGGCAGAGCCTTCTACAACGTCTCTAGCCATGTCCCCTCAGCCCCTCTCACCCCCTCAATCAGCGGCGGCCTCTGACATAGACGAGGCCGCAGACGATGTCGGAGAGGTTCCTGAGTTCAACGTCGTCACTACGGAAAGATACGCGAGCATTTCCATAACACCGAATGCGTTAAACCTGAAAATCGCTGAGAGACGTGAGTCCGTTCTATGTACCTCTATTGAAGGGTTTCCGCCGCATCATTTCATTAATGACAACCTAGGCTTGAATTCTATCAATTTCAGGAGTAAGTATAAGTCGATCTCCACAACAAGGATAGCAACCATTTCATCTATGTTGAAAAATAATACAAACAAAGAAGCATCAATCTCGATAAAATCTAGTAGTTTCACATGATTTAAATGAAGATGTCTTCTGTTAGTTGCGTTTTTCCTTGCACTACTTGACCTTTTCTTTCACCACGGAACCGTGCGCGTCACATGGCTTCTCAAACATGAACTTCTTGAAGAAAAGCTAAAGCGTAGTCATCTTGGCAGCACAGAAACCACCTTATCTCGAAAAATGGAAAGAACAGTTGGCCATCGCAACTAATAACGTCATAAGCCGTACATTTCCAGCAGACCGCACTTGAGAACCAACCGAAACATTTCTAGAAATCAAGAGATGGTCTTGAAACCGTTTGCTTTCTTGTTTACCACCCNCCCCCCCCCCGCTTTACCATTGTGGGATACCTGTACTTCACCAAAGATGAGATGAGAGCTCCTTCGCACTCCTCTCATTTACACGCCGCGTTGAAGCCAGCATTTGATAACATGCCAATCGCTGATTTTGATGGTCATCATATTTCAATGGAATTTGAAGCGAAATCCTTGACATGCATGGTATATAAGCCTTCTTATGTTGAGTTTGAAATGCTTCACTGAGGTCTACCATTAGCCGTTCCCATTTCTGCTCGAAAAAATGAGTATTTAGCAGCAGCTACACAGAGTAGTACAGAACTACACTGGCCAAATTCGATTGCTATTAGCGATCAATTTTTACGTTTACAGCTTTAATCCCCCACACCTCTCAAACTTTCTCAGGATTGAACATTGTACGTAAAAGGGAAACGGAATTGCGATTAAGCGGTCCATTGCACATTAGCTTTAGATATAGCATATGAGTGCATCGTCAAATTTCCCCACAGCGGGATATCTCTAACAGGACAGTGTATTTCCTTCACACATGGAGGCTATACGTGTGAAGAGAGCCAGGTTTTGAGTTAACGCTAAATATTCATAAGGCCTCTGGATAGATCTGTCGATTTCGGGTTCCTCACTTCCCTCTTATTCTCCTCTTCGGATTCCAGTCCTGCCGCAGGCCATCAGTGCTCTCAACCTGCTGCTTATGTTCGCGCACTTCCCGCCTCCAGTGGGCGGAGTCTACACCTGCCGGAGCAACTGGTNTTCCCGTCTTGCCGTCTCTATCCCTTCTAAATTTGGACACTCAGGGCCCAGGAGTACAGAAGTTATAGATTTCCGGTGAACTACATTTTTCGCGCACGCCCCACCCCTGGTGGGCGGAAACAGGCTGGGTGGGGCGTGCGTGAAAAGGATCCAGTTCGATTTCCAGAAAGCACCATATAAGATGGCTAAAACAGGCTTACATTTGTGGTTTATGCATAATAAGGATTTCCTACAACTGCGCAAATAAGGATGATTAGGTGAGAGTGACATGACCATGCAGCACTTCACTGGAACCCTACATCTATGTAGCACTTCTCCACAAAAAGTGATCGAGCGAACAAAAGAGGGAAAAGGAATAATTGATGTGTCAATAATAAGTCTAGAGAGCAGATTTACGAACCAGGGATCTTTGATAATCCGACTAGAAAGTTCAGAGCGGAAGGGAGATGAGTCGAGCTTCATGGACTTCATTTTCGTAGAATACATCTTTCAATAAATTATGAAAGAATCTCCACAACCCACATTCAGATCTTCATTGAAGTACACGGCATTTTCTACATGAGATCATCCAGTTTTTGTCCACGTAAACATTCAGGCGGAGGCGATATAAACATTACAAAAAAGTAGAATGCCCACTGAGAAGGAAGAGAGTATGATTCGATGGCGATGATGAAAACAATCAAGACGTAAAAGGTCAAAAGAGGAGATCATCGGAAAGTGAAAGGTTGTTGTAAGCCTTCTCCCCATCGACCTTCCAAGCCGACGCGAGGTCCACTATTCATGTCACTTGTCGTCATTTCCTGCCGTCTGGGGCATCTTCTGTCTTGATCTTGGTTTCCATGAGGTCTCACTTGATCACCCCAAGCCACCTTTTCTTAAAGACTTCTCGCTGCCGTCTTCCTCGTGCCTCAAACTCCTTGATTTCTTTATCAGCTTATGCTGGAGCCTTTCCTGTAAATGTCCATACCAAACTCTGCTTTTTCAATCGAAGCTCCTATACTATTTGCATGGCTTTACTGAACCCCAGTTCCTAATCCAGCAGTTTAACGGCAGGCCAATCCGAATATTATCCTTGTCTGTACTGAGGGAGTAGCCTTTCATAACTGCTGATGATACTATCTCACGGAGAACATCGTGGGCCTCACCACTTCTCTGCACATCTTTACTTTGACAATTCTGGAGCATCGCTGGTCGCGAAGAGACCGTTCCTCTCGTTTCATTCATCGAGTTCACCATGCTACCGTTACCGTTGCCAGTCTCCGCTATCGAAGCGTTCCCACCAACGTTGAGGATAGTCTTTGTTGTTCATCTACTGATCCCTTTGTGATGACATGCCACGTTAGGAGGAAAAGGAACGGGCTCCTTGGCGTACCCTAAAGTTTACGTCTGTTGCTTTTGATCTGTGGCCAGAAAGGTGTGCAGTTGCAAGATACCGTGCATGTTCATGGCCAGTAAGATCAGATGTTTTGGAATGTTTCATCTAAAGCGCTCTCGAGAGGTCTAGACGCAGTAGGCGGTCTGAAGCCTTCTCCAGTTCTCATTGCTGCTGTAGTTTCAACGGGTAACAGTCAAGTTGATCCCACGTTGGGTGGTACACTCTTTCGCGTCCTCTTCCTGCTTAATTATGTGAACGTTAGTAGTGTTCGTCCATACACATAAGATCCTTCCTTCAATGGCCCCTTTGTAGGAGTCCAGTAAGGTGCTACCTGACCACGAACGTCCCGAGAGTCTTGTATCTCTGGAGTGGTACCAACGCCAAGGCAGTTGCTCACAATCCTCATTTCTCCATTGCTCGATACTCTATTCGGAGTGCGTAGGGCCAGCCGTGCCTCTACATGGGAGCTGTATTCACACTGAAATCCTTCATCTCGAAATGTTCCTTCCACCTGCGCTAGATCCTACATGAGTTTTTGAGGTGACTTTCTCGCTGCTTTCACCGCCCCAATGTCCAATGTCCGATCAATTCGAACTTTTCCTTCAAAGCGTTCATTTCCGTATTTTTGGCCCAAGTGACGGCAGCCTCGAAGAACCTCTTGCAACTACTGTAAGCAACTAAGGTTTTCGAGGCCTACGCCTTTTGTCAGCGTCTTTTTCTTCTTCTGCTGCTCCTTTATAGCTTGATCCCGAGCCAAAACAGGGTCCAGTCTTCAAGACTGCCTCCACCTTCTTCTATCTGCGACATAGTCTGCCGTCACTTTAGTTCCTGGAAGGTCCTTTTCAATCACTTCCTGCCCACTTTTCCTGGGACTCAATGTGGTCGCTGTCCTTGAGTCTCAAATTCCATTGCCTCCCTTATCGAATGATTCTGTAGCCTTCATCACCATCGTAGACGCTGCTCTCCCAGCTGAATAATCTCCAATATTCAGCTGAATAGGGGCTGTTTGCATGACCGCCCTGACGTCCTCGTTTCTGACATTCTTCAATCGTCTGGCATCTCTGAGCATCCCCATTTCACCTGCGTGCAGTTGTCTTTTTTGACTTTTACAAGGGCAGCATTCGATGCCAGCATGAGCGTCTCACTACTCACTCTTATAAATTTGCGTTCTGTTTGACACCAACATTTGTTGCCAAATGTGACGAGTGGTCGTTTCAATAGAATGATTCTAAAATAGTAAGACCAAACCGTAATCTCCTGAATGACCAACTACAACCACTTCTAACATGGTTTAAAGGCACCGTTTACGATAAATTCAGGGTAGCCTTTTTTNACTACATTTTTCGCGCACGCCCCACCCCTGGTGGGCGGTAACAGGCTGGGTGGGGCGTGCGTGAAAAGGATCCAGTTCGATTTCCAGAAAGCACCATATAAGATGGC